GGTCCGACAAGCGAGGAAGATGGGGAAACGGACAAAACTGGAACCGTCCGGGAAGGAGAAGGAGGATGGGGAGGGTGAGGGAGGGCGGAGGAAGCAAGACCCCCTGGCCTCAGCCCCTTGAAGCTAGCGAACGACCGTCCAGGGAAAACGCCATATTTTGTCAGCCGTTGCAGGTCGGAGCAGGACGGCTGGCAAGGATGCCAGCTCGATTCGGCGAGCAACGGGAGCATGTGACAGCGCGGAATGGCAACAAACTGCTGCCAGGCAGCCACTGAGAGCGCACCTGTCAGATACCTACAGCCATCGGCCTGACCTAAGGAACGATAAATCAGGAACGAAGCACCTTTGTTTTCCAAGGAACAATGCATAAGGAACGATAAATAATGGAAAAACGCATACGGAACGATGGATAACGCATGCAAGCTGAGGGAACGACCGGACCCCTTTTGAAAAGCAAGCGTTCCTTACTCAAGCCGCCCACTGCACTTCTCAAGCATCCCGCATGGTCACGCGAAGGTTGCGGTTGCAACTGGCGACTCGGGGGAAGGGGCCTGGCCACTCGTCACCACTTCTAGCACGGCCGTTTTTTTTGTTCCGCATTCTCGCTTGTTCGGAAATCCCTACCTTCCGTCCATCATGGTCATGACCTACAATATATTGCACTAGAACCACGCGCGCGCTTCGCGCGCGCTTAGGTTCTGTCGAGTCACAGACCCAGGAATCGCTGTGAGAAGAAATTGGTGACGCGAAGCGTCGTGGGGGCGTCCTTGGACGTCTGGGGTCTCCTGGGGCCTCTTGAGGGGCCTCCTGGGGGCCTCCTGGCGGCCTCTTGGGGCGGAAGGCTCGAGCTTGCGGTTCGTGGTCCCCCTCTGGGCCCCCTCTTGGGCCCGTCTTGGGGCCCTCTTGGGCCATCTTGGGCGCCTCTTGGGCCGTCTTGGGGCCCTCTTGGGCTGTCCTGGGGCCCTCTTGGAAGCTTCTTGGGCCGTCTTGGGGCGGTCTTGGGCGCCTCTTGGGCCGTCCTGTAACGTCGGAAAGCCCAAAAGACAACTTTGTTGAAAATGTACGTTTTACGAAGGGAATGGGCCAATTTTGCGTCTAGGGGCCCTCTTGGGACGCATGTTGGAGGCTTCTTGGGGCCTCTTGGGGGCGTCCTTGGACGTCTGGGGTCTCCTGGGGCCTCTTGAGGGGCCTCCTGGGGGCCTCCTGGCGGCCTCTTGGGGCGGAAGGCTCGAGCTTGCGGTTCGTGGTCCCCCTCTGGGCCCCCTCTTGGGCCCGTCTTGGGGCCCTCTTGGGCCATCTTGGGCGCCTCTTGGGCCGTCTTGGGGCCCTCTTGGGCTGTCCTGGGGCCCTCTGGGAAACTTCTTGGGCCGTCTTGGGGCGGTCTTGGGCGCCTCTTGGGCCGTCCTGTAACGTCGGAAAGCCCAAAAGGCGACTTTGTTAAAAATGTACGTTTTACGAAGGGAATGGGCCAATTTTGCGTCTAGGGGCCCTCTTGGGACGCATGTTGGAGGCTTCTTGGGGCCTCTTGGGGGCGTCCTTGGACGTCTGGGGTCTCCTGGGGCCTCTTGAGGGGCCTCCTGGGGGCCTCCTGGCGGCCTCTTGGGGCGGAAGGCTCGAGCTTGCGGTTCGTGGTCCCCCTCTGGGCCCCCTCTTGGGCCCGTCTTGGGGCCCTCTTGGGCCATCTTGGGCGCCTCTTGGGCCGTCTTGGGGCCCTCTTGGGCTGTCCTGGGGCCCTCTTGGAAGCTTCTTGGGCCGTCTTGGGGCGGTCTTGGGCGCCTCTTGGGCCGTCCTGTAACGTCGGAAAGCCCAAAAGACAACTTTGTTGAAAATGTACGTTTTACGAAGGGAATGGGCCAATTTTTGCGTCTAGGGGCCCTCTTGGGACGCATGTTGGAGGCTTCTTGGGGCCTCTTGGGGGCGTCCTTGGACGTCTGGGGTCTCCTGGGGCCTCTTGAGGGGCCTCCTGGGGGCCTCCTGGCGGCCTCTTGGGGCGGAAGGCTCGAGCTTGCGGTTCGTGGTCCCCCTCTGGGCCCCCTCTTGGGCCCGTCTTGGGGCCCTCTTGGGCCATCTTGGGCGCCTCTTGGGCCGTCTTGGGGCCCTCTTGGGCTGTCCTGGGGCCCTCTGGAAGCTTCTTGGGCCGTCTTGGGGCGGTCTTGGGCGCCTCTTGGGCCGTCCTGTAACGTCGGAAAGCCCAAAAGACAACTTTGTTGAAACATGTACGTTTTACGAAGGGAATGGGCCAATTTTTGCGTCTAGGGGCCCTCTTGGGACGCATGTTGGAGGCTTCTTGGGGCCTCTTGGGGGCGTCCTTGGACGTCTGGAGGCCATCTTCAGCATCTCGGAGCCCTCTTGGAAGTTTCTTGGGCCGTCTTGGGCGTTTCTTGGGCCGTCTTGTCTGACCGGGGAGGCCTCCGGCAAGCCCCGACGAGCCTCCGGGCCCCCCGGGGTGCACATTTGCGGTCGAGGTCCCGGCCCCGGGCCCCCGGACCTGGTGCGCCGT